TAGGATTTAAGAGAGGATCTGTAAAGAGGAGTGGATCAAAATCCCTCCTGAGATGTGTGCAAACCTGGTGACCAACTACAAAAAAAACGTCTTACCTCTGTGCTTGCCAACAACGGTTTCTGCACCAAGTATTAAGTCATGTTTTGTTTGGGGATCAAATACTTATTTCACTCACTGAAATGCAAATCAATTTCTAACCTTTATATAATGTTTTTTTTTCTGGATTTTTTAGTTGGTATTCTGTCTCTATACGTTAAAATAAGCCTACCATAAAAATGACAGACCCTTCATTTCTTTGTAAGTGGGCGAACTTACAAAATCAGCTCAAATAAATATTTTCCCCACTGTATATAATTATTTAGTCACAGTTGGTTATTCTTGGTATTTTATGTTATTCAGTAGTGTTGGTCAAAACTGGTATAAAAATATGAGTAATCTGACACACCTAAAAAATGTCATAAAATGTTAATACATTTCAATTCATAGTCGGAAAATCCATGAATGCTGACTTAGGGGAATAGGGGAATTAAAAAGACCCAAATGACAAAATGTAATATGGCATAGTCACATATGCATCCAATGCAGAGTCAACACATGCAACATGTTTTGAAGCTACAGCTTTTGATATATAAGTTAAGATTTTGTAATGTCATTGAAGCTGCATTTATTTGATCAAAACATCACTATTGTGAAATGTAAATTTTTTTTAATAACAATTTTAAATATATTTATATATTTGTATTTACTGTATATATATAAGTGCTAACTCTGTAATGGATACAGAGAGACAATAAGTCATTCATATATTCAGAAATAATATATTTCTGCCTAGATGCTCAGACAAAAATAGCAATGTTTTGATAATTCCACAGAGCCACAAATGGTTCTCTTAGCTGGGATAGGAGAACATATTTTAACATCGAAAAAATGATACACTTAAGCTCATTGTGGTAAGATTAAACTTGCACAACAAAATTTAACCTTTTTGGATAAACTATGCAGAGGTTCCTCAATCATTGAAACTATGTGAAATATTTAAATCAAAAGATATTTATCCTTTAAGCCGTCCCCAAGGAATGAGCCCTGCATGAAACAGTAATACATTTCACACAAGTGCATGACTCATAGCTTGGATAGCTTGGGGCTCTGTTTGAAACAAATGATTCAGTGTTAACCTTTCAACTTCAACATGACACATATTTTCTGTGTTTTTGGCAGTTCTCTTTTTACTTTGGCAAACATTAACCCTGGCTTTTTATGGCAATCCCATCATTTATATCATGTGTCACCCCTGAAGCACTGCTCCCCCTAACACTCTTCACTTCATCTGTCATTCTCTTGTCCACAGGTTTTTACTCGGTCAGTGGGAGTTCTCTGTCAGACTCTTGTTACTCTGTATCCAGCGAGGCGGCTCCTGGAGGGTCATTGAAAGTCAGTTGTAGGCCACACTCACTGGATCATAGTGCCACTCATTGGAGGGAGGCTGAATCTCATAGTACTGAGTGTCCTGAGGGCACAGTGGAGAAACAAGAAAGAAGGCCCTTTTCTACTGGTATGACTTGTGATCTTAAAAAAAACACACACGTCTGAGTCATATTTCATTCAAAAACCAAAAGAAAGAAGAACTTTGCCCATTTATGTAATCAAAATTGTTAGAAGTACTTATACATGATGGTAGTATTTTTTGTACATTTGCGTTTTTTCAAGATAATTTAAATAATTAAAAAAATCATAAATCATACTATAAAATTCCTGAAAAATAGTAATGAGCATTTAATGACAATCCCTGTTTGGCTAATATTAGAAATTAAAAACTGAAAGTACAAAAAAAAGTAAAATGTCCATATGCATAATTATTATTTACAATAATAATAATTTAATTGGGAATGTGAAAACTAAAAATGATTTTAATGGAAAAGAAATCGTCCCATAATTTTAATGCAATATTTAAAAAAAATAAAAAGTATTATTTAAAAAATAATTTGTAATCATTTTGTGCTTTTGATTTGATGCTGTTTTCTAATTAAAATCATTACATAATTTATTGTATACTAACTAAGAAGAATGTAAATAACATTACAAAGTGTTTTTTGTTTTTTATAAACAGGTGATCTTGAGCTCAATAGCCTCATGTTCGTGACAGACCTTTGTTCGAGTTTGGGAGGCATTCACCCAGGCACTCTTTTACCCTCTTCCAACTCCAGTCCACAGCTTCAGCTGGACCCTAAATTTTGCTCTGACCTAGTTTCTCGGAAGACAAAAGAGGTGTACCATTACCCTAGTCCACTTCATGCTGTGGCCCTCCAGAGCCCCCTGTTCACCACCTGCCAGGAACCTTCCCCCACACGCCTCTCCCCCAGTCCAGAGAGCGAGCAGCCTGTGGAGCCAGGGCTTGAGCAACCTCCTGTGAAGGGCCATCCCCCAACTTCTCCTTCCTTTACTCAGCTGGAGCAATACATCAACAGATTAGTCCATCAGCATCACTGCAGGGTGACCGCTGAAACTTCCAGTCGTGGACCCCAAATAAACATTGCAGGTGCTGGTTATGAAGGACTTCACCCAAGAAGTGCTTCCTCCTCCAGCATGTCTGGAGGGAGTGTTACTCCTTGTAAGTCTATCCTGGGCAATTCAGCGAGAGTTAACCTCAGCAGTATTGGTAAATGCGCAAATAGGAATTCCATCAACCTAGGAAACTTGCCCTCAGTGACAGGGGAGGATTTCAACATCAGCTTCCACTTAAATCTTAATTTGAACCTGAATCCAAACCTGAACAAGACGTTGAGTTTTAATGGTAAAAATGCGAAAGAAGAGGTCTCAGGATCGTGTGGGCATCTCTCCGCCAGTATAGTCACTCCAACTGCTTCCCCTTCCTCTTCGACGTCCACCATCACCAGCACTCCAAACTGGAGCAGGAGACCAAGGATCTCCACCTGCCCTTCCTCTGTGAACCATCGAGGGTCTCTGGAGATAACTGGAAAAAACTTTGGGCAAATGGGATTCTCCAAGTCTCTAGACTGGAGTGGAGCCTCAAGGGAAGAGGCAGAGGGTTGTCCTCCAACCAAAGTTTTAGACAGCCCTCCCAAACTTAATGAGGACTCTGCAGTTGTATGTGAAATCTCTCGTGTATCTGGCCTGCCAAGATCTGTAGTTCTTGGCTTGATGGAGGAGGGGGTGGAGTTGGATGCTGAATGTTTTACGAGTGAAAGAGAAAGAGGTGTAGGATCTGCTTCTCCAAGTAACGTTCCTACACAGTACTCCTCCCGGTCATCATTTCAGCACCCATTTGGATTAGATCAAACTAATCTAACACCACCATCAAACACCTGGGCAGGTGCAGGCACTGGACAGGATTACATATCTCAACAGCATCGCCTACAAGTTTCACACTCGGATTGCCATTCGGCACTGACATCACAGTCAGGTAGCCCTCAATCGGACAATTCTGGTCCCATGCCTACTCTTTCTTCTCCCATTCTGCATTTCCCACATAATCAATCAGACTCTGCCTCCTCTCCAGGCTCCTCCCACAACAGAGTCCACTCCCCTCCTCGGCTACTTTCAAATTCACCCTTCACTCCTGCTCAGCTTTCAGTATTTCAGCGTGACTCCCCATCTCAATGCTCTCTACCACGCTTTCACCCATGTAGTTCCTCACTGGAGGGTCCCATTCGGCCTCGTGGAGGTTCCCTCAGGCAGAACGCAGGGGCTGGGTGGAGGCCTCAAGATAGAGGGTGGAGGAGGAGTGGGGATGGAGAGAGGCTGTACCAGGGCAAACATGCCACAAGAGAACTTATTCGAGCATCCACAGTTAGTAGCTATTCGGGTAGAGACTATGGCACTGGATGGGAGGATGAAATGAGCACTCAAACACCTAAAAAGGGTGGAAAGTTTTGGAAGGGGTTCGAAACACGATTTTGGGGACGAGAGGACTATGATGAGAGAGCTGGAGGATTTGGTTGGAGGCACACCTCGCTGAAAGAAACATCGTCCAGTAGGCAAGATCAAAGAGGGAACAACTCGAAAAAGAAAGGTACGAGTTGGGACAGTAGAAGTTCCAGCCTCCGGTTGTCCAGGAGAGCATTATTTCGAAGCGAGTCTCAAGGAATTCTCGAGCCACATTCTCAGAAACGGGAAAGCAATCAGTGGCGTTCCTCATTTGAGATCAGCCATGCAGGACGGGGCTCTGAACGTGCTCGCAATCTTGTGAGAAAGGAGGAGAAACATCATTCTTCAACTGCCAGTCTTTTCCATCTCTCTCGCTCCCAGAGCCTGGAGGGAAGCAGTTACTCTCTTTCTCCTCTTTCGTCCCCATCGCTCTCGCCCTCACCTCCCCCATCAGCTCCTCTCACCCGTTCCAGATCGTTCCGTGACCTTGGAAGGAAAATGTTTGGCTCTATGAGGTCCCTCAGTTTCAATAAAAATCACAAGTCGAAAAAGAAAGATTAGTATGAACAATTAAAAATGGGAGAAACCAAGCTGCCAACTTTTCCAAACGTACAATTTTCTCTCTTTCTGCTTGTTTAGGTGCTTCTGCATGCCATGCCGTGTCTATGTGCACTCTTATGGTCATAGTGGTTCTGGTGTTGTTTTTACTATGAACATATTATGCTTTTAAAAAAAAAGCACTCCAAAGTATATGCTGACCAAATACAAAAAGATGTTGTTTGAACTTATGCTCAGGACTTTGAAAAAAAAAAAAACAATAAAATACAGAATTTGAAATGATTGTTAAGGAGTTCATGTTTCAGCAATCAATAAAATTGTTTCCAATTTGAAATGATCCTTATTTGCTTGGCAATGACGGAATATGTTGCTACTGCTGAGTGAAGTGTTTTGTGGTACAATAGGATTACATGAGATCTCACAAACAAAAATCTGCTTTCATAGACTTACATTAAATGTCTTATCACAGCATTTCCATAATCATATTAGCATAATCCATTAATAATAGCTTTTGAACACTCCGTTTCAAATGGCAAATACATTATGCATAAAGTTCTTTCAAAAATATTTATTAGGATGAACAAACAAAAAGCAAGAGAACTATCATATGGAAAAAAAAAATACAGACCCACAGCTGGAAGAAACTGAATGCAAAACAGAAGCAGCTAGACAGTATGTTAACTATACAATACCAGAGTACAATGCATTTTAAGTGCATTAAAATTCTTGTACAAGCTGCCACGTTGCACCAGATTTCAGCCACACATTCAGTCAACACCAGTAAATGCCATATGTAGCAAATTATCCATGCCCTGAAGCAAAACATCCCACTTTCTTCCTGGCAGCTCAAGCTTAATTTAATGATGTATGTTCCTGCTGTGTCATGTAAAAAATACAGACCCACAGCTGGAAGAAACTGAATGCAAAACAGAAGCAGCTAGACAGTATGTTAACTATACAATACCAGAGTACAATGCATTTTAAGTGCATTAAAATTCTTGTACAAGCTGCCACGTTGCACCAGATTTCAGCCACACATTCAGTCAACACCAGTAAATGCCATATGTAGCAAATTATCCGTGCCCTGAAGCAAAACATCCCACTTGCCTCCTGGTGACGACAGCTCAAGCTTAATTTAACTCGATGTATGTTCCTGCCGAGTCGTGTATTTGTCAGTTTAGACCAATTTCTGGGTCTTCTCCTCTGCTAACTGCTCCTCACCCTGTTTCTGCTTGCTGAACATGCCTTTGTACAGTGCCTTCTCTTTCTGGTAGTCTTGGCTGAGTCTCTCCTCCACTCGCTGCAGCTGTTTCTTTACATCAGGATCTGAGAAATGGAGAACAGGATGATATGAATGTCTCATTATTTCCAATCAAATCACTGACATGAACTCTTGAGTGCAGATGTGAAACTGCAGTTCAACTGAAGGCTGCAGAGCAGGGGTCTTTGATCTTACTAATTCTTAAGAAAATTATTGCATCCGCAAAATGTAATACCACGCTGCATTACGTAACAGGCACACATGCTGTATTCCCTTGTGAAAATTGTAGCTGAAAATATGAATAATACCAGTAGTTCTCAACCTTTATCTCAGGGGACTTTTTTATGTCACATGCTTTCTGACACCACATTTAAATGTATGCACACATACACGTCATTTAATATTACAAGGCAACAGAAAAGCCTTTTAAACCAAAATAAGTCTGAAAAAAAAAATACTGTGGAAAGTTTGGTTATTAACTTGTCAAATTACCAGCCCAGATATGTTTAATGGTAACCCCGTGTCTTTGCTTTTTCAGCAAGTAGTGTTTTATCAAATCATATGATTGCATTATGAATATCATTGCACAATTTCAATCTGTATATCATGCTGAGAATTTTCACTGATTCTGTGTGGCATTTAACCATGCTTACACAGGACACATTATTGCGTTTAAATATAGCTAAAGGAACAGAAGAGAATGCAGGGGTCCTGTGACATGTTTTTGAACTATTTTTAACTTGACTGCACATGGCATCAGACAGAATGCAGTAAGTGAAGACCCACTGCTCGTTTGATTGTTTTCTCAGCTAGACATCTGTTTATAGCATAATAACGATAATTTGACACTGAATCCAACAAAATCAATTAGGTGACCCCTTGGAGCGCTCTGGCGACCCCTGGTGCAGGTTGGCGAATGATGAAATATGCAAGAAAGGTGGGATGTGGTTTGTTTTTACCATTAGGTTTCCCCCTGCTGGCCTGTATGAGGTAATGTCGAGCAGACTGTGCATCACCCAGTTGTAATGAGGCCACTCCAGCTCTGTAGAGGGCCTTAATGTCACCTGACCTCCACCGGAGCACTTTCAGACTGTACTCTAACACACGGGCATAGTCCACCACCTGTCGCTGTAGCAAACATGCTGTGAAACACAGAAATGGGTTAAGAGGAGAATGCTTTCCCAGATGAGATTTACAAACACTACCATTCAAAACTTTGCGGTCAGTAAGATTTTTGAAAGAAGTCTCTTATGCTCACAAAGTCTGAATTTATTTGGTCCAAAATACAGCAAAAACATAAATATTTCAAAATACTATTAAAATTTCAAATACATTTTAAAATGTAATTTATTCCTGTGAAGGCAAGCTGAATTTTCAGCAGTCATTACTCCAGTCTTCATTTGTCACATAACATTGTCTAATATGCTGATTTGCTGCTCAAGAAACATTTCTTATTACCATTAATGGTGAAAACAGTTGTGCTGCTTATTTTTCTACAAAGTGTGATGTATTTTTCTGAGGAATATTTGATGAGTAGAAAGTCCAAAAGAACAGTATTTATTTGAAATGGAAATCTTTTGTAAGATTATAAATGCCTAACTGTCACTTTTGAGTCCTTGCTGAATACAAGTACAAACTACTGAATGGTAGAATATTAATGATAAAGCAAGATCTCTTCCGTTATGGGTTATCATGAGATCAAGGACAAAGTTCACACGATTTAGTTTCCCATTTCTCATTATGATTAACTGCTATGGTTAGAGTTTTTAATGTGGTCAATATGATGAGGTGCCAGCAAAGTGTGAAAGCCAATAACAGGATCCTAGTTGTGGGGGTAAGATGATGGTGAAATAGATGGAAACTTATGCCGAGATAGACAGAAATGGAGGGATTTGGTTTGGAGGTTTCAAACCAATAGGAAATTAAAGTGAAAGTGAAGTGAGGCCAAGTATGGTGACCCATACTTGGAATTTGTGCTCTGCATTTAACCAATCCAAGTGCACACACACACCGTGAACACACACCCGGAACAGTGGGCAGCCATATTGGAGCAGTTGGGGGTTCGGTGCCTTGCTCAAGGGTCTCACCTCAGTCGTGGTATTGAGGGTGGAAGAGAGTGCTGGTTATTCATTCCCCCCACCTACAATCCCTGCCAGACCTGAGACTCAAACCCGCAACCTTCGGGTTACAAGTCCGGCTCTCTAACCATTAGGAGAGAGGCAGTATTAACATTAAGTGACATGGCATCTGACGTACGGACAGTGTTGGGGAGTAACTAGTTACATGTAACGGAATTATGTAATTTAATTACAAAATAAAAGTAATTGTAATCAGTTACAGTTACTAAGAAAAAATGTGTAATTAAATTACAGTTACTTATGAAAATGTTAAGGATTACAAAGGGGGTTACATCTGATTTTTTCACACACACTCCCGCATACAGATTTAATTGAGTTCTTCCATAAATTGTAGTGACTGCTCTAAAATATGAAACACCAATGTTTCAGAAGCATTACTTTAATAAAGTAATTGAAAAGTTACACTACTTATTACATTTTAAGTAGGGTAACTTGTAATCTGTAACCTATTACATTTCCAAAGTAACCTTCCCAACACTGCGTACGGATGCCATTGGCACATGCCACTATGCTCAGTGGCACATCCGGTGACACTTCTGGTTTTCACTTGCATGTGTCAGTGGAGAGTGGCATGTGCTACTACTAGTACTGTGTCACTACTGCATTAGGCCACGACTACCCCAAATGGTATGATAATGCATGACCAATGACGATACCTAGCCTAGCCTGCCCAGTAAGAAACTCTTCATAAAAACATGCTTATAAATGCACAGAAAGTAGCTTTGGATAAAATTATTCAATTTTAGTGTTGTGCAATTCAGTGCCAAAGCATTACCACCTCACATGGCTACAGTATCTTGTTTGGAAGGAATACACACCTGCTAAATTGTTATAGCAGTCTACTTGAGTGCTCCTCAGCAGGTTCTCCTGCTCCTGGCTCAGTTTAGGCACCTGAGCCCCAAACCCTTGCAGGACAGAGTTCACCTCAGAGTCCAGGCCACGGAGAACGAGCAAAGCACGATGATAACGTCCGATGGCAGTGCGCACATTTTTCTCTCTGTAGAATGCATTCCCCTCCGTCTTTAACCGAATGGCCTCCTGGAGCTGTGACTCCAAACGGGAACCAGATGATCCTCCAGTGGCTCCCAAACATGATGATGCACCGGCCTCTGCCTCTGACCCATCATCCCCTGCAGTAGGATCGAAAACCTGCCACACATAACCAATGCCACAAGAGTTGACAACACAAAACTACTGCATTATTAACCCTAAATGTAGCCACAGCTTCTGCATCAGGAGACCAGTATGTCAATTCATTATATGCTGGTTTTAGAAGATTTAGAAAGGTATCCCATCCTGGCTATGCCAAACCAGTGTATCTGGTCTTCCAGTATGACCAGGTGAAAAGTCCCACACACAGCTGGTCATCTATTCCCTCAGACCAGCTTAACCAGGCTTGGAGACAAAACTAAGACCAGCAAACCACCTTAGGCTGTTTTTCCCAACAGGATTAATTCATGACAGCTTTAAACGCTTACTAATAAATAAATCAAATCAAACACGCTCATAAAATCTAAGTAGGCACATATTACAGTTCATGTCATTAAAAAAGTCGTAACCTTTTGAAACCAAAACACATAATTTCGACGAATTTGAACTGCGCCCAGCACAGCATGCAGCGTCGCCTAGCTTTTATCACTTATAAAAGGAAACAACAAGCCAAGTATCTTTTTTTTACCTTTTCGTCCATTGCGTTTAAGGTTTTAAAATGTTTGCAGTCTGCTTAGAAGCCAGTTTAATTAAGAAAATATTGTTGGGACGCTAAGAAACAAATCTTTGACACTCTTCTTCGTGGTTGTTATGGTTGCAGCATTGATTTTGGCAATACTACCGCCTACCGGAGGAATATTAATAGCGCAACATCATACGAGCGATTTACATCTCTAAAAATTAAGTGAATTAATCATTTAAAATTAAGTGAATTAATCGTTTAAAGAAAGAAACAAATACTTCACATGTAACACACAAGGACACAAAACACACATAAGGAAAACACCCATATATACAAAATAATTAAATGAAGTATTAAATTAAAATTATGTATTAACATAATGTAAAATATATTGATATAATATAAACATAATAATTGAATGAATACACAAATCAAATCAAATGGAAAACACTGACAATTAGAGAAATGTAGATCCTCATAAATAGCTGGCTATAACATTTCTTATATTGTTTCAGGAGTCTGTCACATTTTTATTATTAGTTAAATAAAGAGATTTGAGACGCGAGTCTGTTTGAACGGAAAAAATGTTATAGAGTATAATTTTAAAACTTCTGCTGATGGAAAAATGTACCAAACAATATAAAATAATTCCGATATGCGTTTCTACCTGGCCTTCACATTTGAGGTATCAAATGTCAACTTTTTTTTTCTTTCTTTCTTTTAAAAGCTCGTGGGTGTAAAATATCTGTTGCATTTTTTTTGGATTGTAAAGTGGGTAACACTGGTAACAACAACCAGAGAGACATGATGGATGACCCATTTTCAGCATAACGCCTTTGACATGGAAAACACCCACTTTTACTGACATTTTTAATGAAATGTCAATTAAATATTTAAATCAAATTAAATCAGTTACACGCATATTTGGAAAAAAACAAAAAAAAATCCGTTTATGTTGCAGCTCGCGCGTACGTGAGGATCGTGTGAGAGTGCGTCACAGTGAGCAGAGCCGAACCGCAGCGTCCCGCCGCCGGAGGAGGAGGAGGAGGAGGAGGAGCAGGAGGAGTCCCGACACAAACACGCGCAGTGTCGTGCTGTAAAATTCCACTTAGTATTTATGGTTTACATTTGCAGGTACACTGTCGAAACCAAACGTCTAGATTCTAGCAGGTAACGTTAGGCTACGCTCCTCCACCACAGGCTGAAACTAATCTTCGAGTACATGGAGCTGGATCGGCGGCTGCTGCTGGCTCACTGCGCCGCCCACACCCTGTCCGTCATAGCTGGACTCTTGGTGGTCGTGCCGCTCGCTTTAAACGGATCCGCTTTCAAGGGAAGGTGCGCGCTGTTTAGTCAAGGCTTCTGGAGGACGGAGAACTTCACGGTGGGCGAGGAAGAGTCCAGAACGGTCACTCATTTGGTGGTACAACAATGGGGTCCATTAGCGGCGTGCCAGTTCGCCACATTTGTCGGTGTGTTCACGGTGTTGTACGGCGCTGTTCAGGGCTGGAGGAGCCTGTTCTACCTCCATCGGCGGCATGACGAGTGAGTCTTAATAATGTGACATAAAACTTAAATACAATTAAAACATTTGAATGCCGCATTCGTTAATGGTACAATTACTTATCTATATAACAGCAGAAACTAGTATAGACATTTTATGAAATAATAAAATTAAATCAAACCCATGTATTATATAAAAATAATATAAACTAAAATTTAAATATTAAATAATTTGGTATTATATATATATATATATATATATATATTCAACTTAATGCTATTTAATATTTGTGTATATCAAAGAAATTAACCTAAATATTTTATATTAGTTCAATATAAATGTTTAATGTAATTATAATAATTATACTTAAACATTTTAAATATATTATTCAATTATTTAATAATGTCTTAATTATTCAATTATATATGTTATGTAAAACAATATATTAAAATAAGTACAACATATAATTATGCATTATGCTGTATATATTTTAAATATAGACTATTATTCAATCATTTAAGTCTTTTTAATACTTAAATATTAATGAATTATATATAGAGTGAGAGAGATTAATATGCTTTTTTAATGTTTGTGTATATTAAGTAATATTTAAATTAATGTTTTATATAAGGACCAACCTTATATGTATCAGAAAGTAAATTGTGTGATCCATTGATTTTCATTTTCCTGCAGCACGCTGTTCTCTGCCTTCCTCACGCTGCTGTTGAGTCTGTGTGTGCTCTTCCTCTCTGGAGGGGCCAGTGTTACTCTCACCCTGGGCCTGGTGTCCTGGTGCAACACTGTTACAGACCACAACACCAGATCCTACAGGTACACAAAGCTTTAAATCTATAAGCTGATATGAAGATTGTTTGTGTAGCACTTTTCACAATGCTTCAAAGCAGCTTTAGAGAATTGATTAACATAGACTATGGTCTAAAAATGCATACTGTTGAATGCACATGTTTCAGGAATGAATGAAATACCTACATAATGTTATTAGATAGTGATGTATTTAATGATTCTCTGTCTCTGCAGTTGTGCCGAGTCACAGTCCGTTCCTCTTTATCTGGACGTTGAGACATCCTCTTTCTACTCTGAGCTCAATTGTGCGCAGGTAAAAGAGCAACTGAAGTAACTTGTTTTTCGTTCTGAGATCTGTGGCACAGTTCAACAAAACATGCATATTTTACATGGTAACGTGTTATCCTAAGTGTGTTTCTCTTTGCAGATCTCTCTGTGGTGTGTAACGGCTCTGTGGTTGGCTCACTCTATTCTGTCCTTCCTGAGGCTCTATCATTCCCACAGTCAGCAGATTAGCGGACCGTGTTTATCCAGGGAGAAGGAACTCCTCCTGGGCCAAACTCAAGTGGAGTGTCCCATTCATCATCCGCATCCACACTCGCACCCTTCACACACTCCCAGTGTTTTTATCTAGCCATTTATTTAGTGTTCATAGAAGTTGCACTTTGAGGTTGATCTAAGGCCAGTTTTATTGATTGGAAAGAAGCAACAAGACGACTGGTCCAAGATTAGCGTAAAAGGTAATTTTACTTCTAATCTAAACAGAAAACCCCACAAGTCTCATGCATGTTACACAAAGAATAACATCAGTAATCAGAATTAGCCTGGGTTTTATCTATTCGTTACTTTTTATGCATTTGTTGAGAAGTTTTTGTCATGTAGCTTTGTGCTTACATTGAGGTAAAATGTCTTGTGTGTACCAATTTATAACTTTGCCATAAGGATTCTAATATATATATATATATATATATATATATATATATATATATTGCACTATTAATGCATTGCTCTTGCATATGCAAGATATCGTCTAACTTTATATGTTCAGCCATATAATATGAATTTTATGTGAATGGGAAGGAAAGACTAGCCCGTTGCATGTGCTCAAGTCTGACCCATGCTTGTTTTGTACTGTGAATGTATACGCATACAGCGTGACTTTTTGCATACTGAATGGTACTGTCACTCAAACCAGACATTCTCTTTCTAATCCGATTAAGTTTTCTTATATGAAGCTGTTTGTGTTGATGCAAGCTCCTGGTTCAAAATCTACTTTTGCTGGATATTGCATTGCTTAATTTATGTGATGGAAATTCAGAGACAAGGAGAAGCTGGAAAAACATGAGACGGAATGTCAAGAATGTTGCTCATCCTTTTTGAATCCTGAACCTTTGACCTGGAGGATTGTTGTGAAACACAAACAGTTGAATAAGAAGCGAGAGATGAGAGAAATGTTCATTTATGGCTTGGAAATGTGACGATGCTTGTGTTTTATACTGCTGTTTGTATCCATTATGTCCTATTTATAAGCTCTTCTTACTTGAGTAAAGGTAATAGAACATGGTGTCTTGATATTAAGTTGGTGAACTTTGTTGTATTTTTTAAAACAAAATAATTACTAAAATCAAATTTTCAAACTTAAATGGCAAAATCATGGTTAAAGCAAACAGAGCAATCAAAAGAAAATATATTTATAAAAATTGTTATTAAATGTTAATACCAGACCATAAAAAATATTAATTGTTTAAACAGAACACAGTCGAAAAATAGTAAAATTTTCAAACATGTATTTGTGTCAATATTGCAACAGATATATTTTTAAAAAGTTAAGACTTAAGGACGAAAACTCTGTACAAGTGCACATAAAACAACAAGTAATTACATTTTGTCTGGAATTTGGAAAATATCAAGTGTGACATGCAACTAAACACAAAGTTAATTGCAATTACATTTTCATTAAAGTGCATTCACTGACCATATAATAGAATAATTTAAAATTTAAAGCAGCACCTAACTACTCTCATTATCCCATAATTAGTTTGATCAACATGAATATAATATTTATTAATATATAAAATAATTTAATATAAGGCCTCGTTTCCTCCCTGTCATAGTTGTCAGTAAAATTGTAAATACAGTAATTATTACTTTATAAACAGTTCTGTAAAACTGATAAATGGCTCAGCTGTTAAGGAAAAGGTTAGCTGGTTACTATTGCTTGGAATGCATTTTTCTCCTCAATACTGTTTGCACCTCTTATGCTACACGTCCTTGGCAATCTTAGACAGCTGAGAAACTTCTTTCTCTTTCATCACAGTCCCTTGTTGTAAGTCAGCACCTTGCAATCCGTTGCCATGGCAATTTCCGGCTCAAGGTGAGATGCCTCGATCTGTGAGGAGCAAAGAACGATTAGCAAGCAATTCCCTGCTAAAATATTTATTATTCAAAGCACACACACACGAAAAGGTTAATGGCAAGAGGTCGACATACAAAATTAAAACTGCTGCAGCAATTGTTTGCAGTAGAGGAAGAGGGGAAATGATGCAGGTATTGCTGCAGTACCTCTGACATCTGTGGGAAGAGACTGATAGCCAGTGGCAAGGACAGACCAAAGACGGCCAGACATACTAAACTGTGCACAGGCAGCATCATTCTGCGATGGGCCTGCATCAGAGGAAGCCTGGTCGAGGACAGTAAGGACAGACTCTCATGACTGCTTTTGTAGCTATTAAACAATAATTGAATTATCATTTAAATAATTAATTACAAGTAAAATAGTAATTCATTCATAATTATAATTAATAATATATTAATAATGTTTATAACATAATTAATTATTATTAATTATAATTAATTCCCATTCAGGAATGAATTTAAATGCAACTGAAGCAAAAATAACTCTATACTTTTCCAAGAAGGCCATTATTATTGGTGGAAGGACAAAGATTGGCAGTGGTAGCGCTACTCGCGTTAGTGCTGTTTCTATCAGTGCCTGATAAAAAGAAAAAGCATACAAATAAAAAGGTCAATTTATGAACAAAGGGAAAGAACTACTTTTGTAAATTCATGTAACAACATGGCTAGTAAGAATACAATTTTATAATTATGACTAGCTTTACTTGCATTGATTTGAAAATAAAACCATTAAAAAAAACTATCAACAAACTGAAGTACAGTCCCAACTGTAATACTAACATACGCACATGTTTGGCAGCTATCCGTGAGGATCCCACTACATTCCCGTTGCTGTCTAGCACATCTATTCCCTCAGACAGCTCACTGTGTCTCATTAGAGCCACGTTACAGATGTTTGCACTGGCTGAGAAGTAAAACATACACACATCTTAATGATGAGCATCCATGCTAAACAAAACATGACATCCAGTTTCTGTGAAAGGTCATTTCGTCTTAATATAGTTTGCACCGCATAGATAGGTGAAAATAACCTGATGCAATATCCTTCCGATGTGTGTCTATTATTTTAAGAATTCACAGTTGAATCTGCAATGTACTTGATTAAAATATAGTTTGGGGTCAGTATGATTTAAATAAATTATTACTTTTAATCAGCAAGGATGCATTAAACTGATCATAAGCTGTTCTAATAATAATGTTCTTATTTTAAAAAATGCATCATAGTTTCTACTAAAATATTAAGCAACAAAACGGTTTTCAAAATTGATAATAATAAGAAATGTTTTTTGCGCATCAAATCAGCATATCTGAATGATTTCTGAAGGATCATGTGACAATGAAGAAATGGCTGCTGAAAATTCAGCTTTTCAATCACAGGAATAAATTACATTTTAAAATAAATAAAAAAGAAAACAGTTAAATTTAAATTGTAATGATATTTCACAATATTACTAATTTACTGCATCATGGATCAAATAAATCAGTTGTGGGCACAAGAGAATTATTTCAAAAACATTCAAACAAAATCTTACTGACTACAAACTTTTGAATAGTAGTGTGTGTTATGCTTTCATACTGACAGCAGGGGGAGCTTCACACAATACAGAGTGAGTCAAGCAATATACTGCATCTGTGTACCGACATACCTACAGCAGGGAAGGGGATAAACCTCTGTATGAACAGTCTGGTGGCAGGGTTAAATTTGCTGGATTTCTCAGTAAGTACATTCAGTCCCACCTACAGTAAGACAGAATATTACAGGGGTATTTAAATGAGATTTACAAGTTAAAGGGGTCATATGATGCTGCTAAAAATAACATTATTTGGTGTAATGAAATGTGTTTATGCGGTTTAAGGTTAAAAAAACCATTATTTTCTACATACTGTACATTATTGTTTCTCCTCTATGCCCCGCCTTTCTGAAACGCGTTTTTTTACAAAGCTCATCGGTCTGAAAAGCGAGGTGTGCTCTGATTGGCCAGCTATCCAGTGCATTGTGATTGGCCGAATACCTCAAGCGTGTGACGAAAATGTTACGCCCCTTACCATATTGTGATGCCTTGTCCGGCCGGAGCGACGAAACAAAAACATTAAAACCCATTATAAACGAGGCATTTGTTGCATCCAGTGGGGACATAATTACGGATTATAATGACTTATTACTGTCTTTTTACGCGTTGCATTGCATCGCTTTGCGTAAACATAAAACCATGTCTGCATTTGTGATCGGAGAAATGACAAACAACAAGCACTACTCTACACTGCTCAAAACTCACGTTTGAATCATCAGTGGCAAATTCTTTAAATATAAATATAAAAAACGTACTTTCAGTCTGTGAGTCAGAACAGTCGGCATTGTAGTCTACTCTCCCAGGATCAGGAAACAGTCCTCCATAAAATGCGCTGGACACATCTGAATATTTGGGTTGAACTGTTGTGGAACAGTGTTGTAAATACAACTTAACCACTGATATCTAGTCGTGTCCTCTTTTGGAAGGCCAAACAAAGTAGTTTCGCTTTCACAACGAAACACACAGC